TAAAACCTTATTCTCTTATATGTTTTTTATCGATGTGGGATGTATTGATTAGAGAAAATTGATAGTTTTTAGTGATAAATTATTTGGTCATTATTGAATGTGTGAGGTATATGTGACCAATATTAAAATTTTGTCATAATTGTAATGCATTATAGTGATGATTTTTATCGACAAAAACTTATTTTATCTGTATGAATATTTTTTTTTACGAAATATATTTTCTATGATGACTTTTTTTGTTTATCATTAAATATGTATGCATCTGTGACTATTTTTTTAGATCTATCACAATTGTGATAAGTTATAGTGATGATTTCAAAATTCATCACAAATTTCTGTCACCAAAAATCATTTTTCTTGTAGTGTGTCATACATCGACCCCGTGTGCGTGAGTTGTAAGGTATATATGGGATTTCAGGTAATTCCAAACTAACCGGTTTTGGAATTGTGCTGTGTTCCGTTACTGTATCCATGTAAATGTTTCAAAAAAGACAAACCCCCTTGAGTGGGGGCCCACCCCCGATTGTGGAGCAACTGCCTCACATCAACTTCATGTGCGTGAGTTATAAGGTATATATGAGATTTCATGCAATTCCAAACTAACCAGTTTTGAAATTGTGCTGTGTTTTGTCACTGTACCATGTAAGTGTTTCAAAAAAAAAAAAAAAGAGAAGCAGTTACTATCTCTAGCTTTCAAAGGTTGACTAAAATTATAGTGCTAAAATTCTAATATTGCTATGTATTAATTTGAAGAGAAGTTTTCATTAATTAAAAAGAAAATCCTAATTAATATTTGTGATTTCTTTTATAATGTTGAGATAAAACCCATAACTTAGGTGTAAAGTTTTGCGCAAGAATGTACGAATATCTTGCCTCTTAAATTATCCATACTGATTTTGCGGGAACCGAGTAGTCCTAAAGACAATATTATTAGGTAGTATCTGGTGAAATACCTCATATCTGTGGAAATGCATATCTTATGTCTTAAACCAAAAATGAAAAGTACCAACTGAGTTTTCTGATTTTATATATATATAATTAATGAAAAACAATTTTATTTTTTTTTTAAATTTTAATTTTAACTTATATTTAAAAAATAAAAATAAAAATTTAAAATTTAAAATTTTATCATATTAAATATTAATATTTAGATTTATAAATAAAATAAAATAAATTAATTATATATTTTAATATAATTAATTTTTAAATCTAAATATTAATATTTAATTAAATAATTTAATTTAATTTAATGCTAAAATTTTAATTTATTTTGACGTCAAAATTAATAAACACTTTTTCCTATAAATATATAAACCTAATTTTGCTTTGTTTGTCAAAATCTTGAGACAATTGAATTTGGAAAGAAAATAAAAAACAAAAAAGGAAAAAATCTTAACAAAATATAATTTCTAGGAACATTCATCCTTTCCCTCGCTTCATTGGACAGAATATTCCATTTTGTTTTTGCCAACCACAGAATATGCCATTGAATATGGAAATTACAAATCGAATTTCACCTTCTGTTTTTAGAACTTTCTTTTTCAAGTAAGTACAGAGTACAGACCCCTTTGATCTTTCCAGTAAGCATCCATCCCACCAATTTTTTCTTATATATACAAAGCCAAAACGCTAAACTTTGATATAGTAAATTAATATTAATAATTGCCCATCAAAAAAATTAAGAGCGATAATGGAGGAAAAGAGAAATGATGAGCGTCAAATGAAGAAGACAGAGGACAAGGAGATGTCCTCACAACATCAACCTGGGTTCCATAAAAACTCAGATGATCCCATTAGCCCATGTGGTGCAGAAGTTAACAAAATCACGTCACAGTCTCTAGGAAACGGGCACTTGGACCCTCTAGTGGAGACCCAACACCAGGCTAACACTCCTGATCTCGCCAACCAGCGTACTGATGAGTTGCTCCGCCAGTTAATGGGGGAGCAAGAGAGTGGAAGCATAAATATTGATCAAATTGCCTCAGAAGGGATAGGGTGGTGGACAAGACAGATGGACAGGATGAATCCAGAGGAGTTCCAACGATTTTATACAACGTTGGGAATTCTCCGGGGGAGGGTACAAAGTCATTTACAACAACGACTCAGAATCAGGGACTCTAATTCTGGGGAAACGAGCACATCTACCTCTAGCATTAGTACTAATGGTAGAGTTAGGCGCAAACGACACTGATAATAATTTTCTTTTGGCATTTTAAATAATATATTGTCATTTTCTTTCCTTGAGTAAAAGCTTACATTTTTGGTTAAAACCTCTTTTTGGTCCCTGAACTATTGTACGGACTCTCGATTTGGTCCTTGAACTAAAAAAATCCCTGATTTGGTCCCTACTGTTTACCATTTTTACCTCGATTTGGTCCTTCCGTTAAAATCTCACCGTTATCTCACGACAATTTAATGACATGTCAAACCTTTGAGACACGTCAGATGTATAAATGAATAAATAATGACATGGCAACGTGACATGTCATCTCCTTGCCCAACCCAACAAAAGTGGGACCCACCAAAATTACGAATTGCCATCATCTTCTTCCTCCAGCAAACAAACCCAGCACCAAACAAAACCAGCACCTGGGTTGAATCGAACCCAACAACGCCCTTTTTTTTTCCT